CGATCATGGATACGCACTATTGAGGTGTCCAACATTAGGACGTAAAGACCGTCCGGGGCTCGCAGGTTTTCTATATAGATCAGTTTGTGATTTAAACAATAAATATAAATTTAAGAACGTCAATCCTTGACACTTGTTTACTTTGCAAAAAATCCTCTCTTAAATTTAGACTATATAGTATATGACCCAATAAAGGTATACTATCGAACACTATTTCTGATGATAACTTTTAGAAGAAATAATATTTAACATTCAGTTCCACTTATCCAAATGAGTGATATCCTGATTACCTGTAGTTTTTCAAATACACTTCTTGTTTTCTTTCGATTGTTTCTACTACTGCTATTATTATTATTATTATTATTATTATTATTATTATTATTATTATTATTATTATTATTATTATTTAAGTGTCTCCAACGTTTACAACATTCAAAACACTAACTGTAATAAGAATTTAAACACAATTGAGAATGATGAATTGGTTGGTAAACAAGTGGACAATACCAATCAAACAACAACAACAACAAAGAAATCACTAACTAATCAGAAATCTAATGAATTCAACCAATTGAACATTGAAAGGAATCACTTGAACAAATGTAGTTTGAATAAACCAAATCAATTTCTTCATAATGAAAACATCTGCCTCATTGAGAGTACAATTTGTAATGATGAAAAAACTATTCAGACAAACAATAATGGTAATCACAACATCAATGCTACTACTACTACTACTACTACTACTACTACTAATAATAATAATAATAATAATAATAATAATAATAATATTGATAATAATAATAATAATAATAGTATAAACGATTCAGAGGACGAGTTATTTGATGAGTTGATCAGGGGTAATTTTGATTCACCAATCCCTAATCCCACAGACTGTGATTTAAACTCTGTAGATTATGATGAAATAGCTTATGATGATCAGTTATCATCAACTAGTACAAGTCTATTGTTGGACAATTCAAATCCAATTTATCAATCAACAAATAATTCATTGATATCAACTGAAAATTGATCAACATTACTACCATTATTATTAATAATAATCAAGTATCTTATTGTGGTGAATTTATGTTTGATTCTTATTTCATTTTCAATTGTTTACGTATTGATAATTGAACACCTTCCGGTGATTACAACAATTTCACATACATCTTTTGTAATTTTAAGAAAATCAGTTGACTGCAGTACATATATAATAGGTATATTGTGAGCACAAATATGTTGGTGTGCATAACATCCTTTCTTCCAACATTTTTATTTGTTAAACTTTTTGGAATAAATAAACCTCGTAACATCATATATCGTTAATTTTACTTTAGCAGTCTACTATATACTACTTTAAAGTAGTATGATTGATAATCAGTAAAACTAGATTGTCATGCCAATATGGTTTTTTTCAAGAACAGAATCTATCGTGGTTCTTTATATGCTTTTTGATAGAAATTATGAACTCCAAACTTTCTCATGTATACATTAGGATGAATATTAATTCCCCTTGAACTGTAACATCTTGATGACGGGTCTTTTTTGTAGCAGTAAATCTGTCGACTATGAGTCACAGTGTAGTGTTGTGTTACGTCTGGAGGGTTGATTCGTTTCAAATTAAATGTTAAACAACTGTCTATTGATGACTGACTTCTCTGTCGTTCCAGCCCATCGTACTATTTATCTTCAAAGTGGTGTCTTCTACACAAACTCATGTACTCTAATAATGCAGCATCTAAATGAACTTCTCAAAGTTATAATCCTAATCAGTTACCTACAAGATAAATGGGTGTAAAACTAACGTACTACACCATCACTAAAGATAAAAGGAACACACCGCAATGAATGATAGTTGTATAGTGCTCAGTAGTTTGAAAATTCTACCCAATAGATTCTGAGTTACACCAAAAGTACTCATAAGCTTGTATAGTAGCGAGTTAGGTGATAAATTAGGCTATTTTGGGATGAGAGAATTAGTAATAATCGACTTTCAAGTTCTAGAAATCCTCTTCTATAAATAAAACATGCTGGATTGGACTTAACACGGTTGGTGGTCATATTTTGTAAGATTATTATTGTGTTGATGATTACGTTGTTAACATTTTCACACAGCAAATCTTCCAGTTAATGTTCGAGTCCCGCGTGTGGAATCGTGGAGGCGCGCTGCTGAGAGGTCCCATACTAGGATGGAACGACCGCCCAGCGCTTTCAGGATTTTGATGGTGGTTACTGCCAGTCCCAGGCCCGGGCAAAGGAGAAGGGTTTGCAACCATATCTTGTAGGGAAAAAACGCTAACCAGTAAAAATAAAATTGATCAATTCAAGATCCCAATCAAAACTCAATATTAAGAATAACAATATCCACTGAGTAAAGTAAATTCTAACTGTAACAACTTGGCACTATTTGACGTTTCTACAGGTATTAATGAATGTCAGTGATGATAACAAACTACCTAGTTTCTGTGCAGTCCTTGATGTGTGCCGGATTAAATTTATTCAAGTTAACCGCTCAGCTTATACCAGATGGTTAACTAAACTATTTTGGGTTGACAAACCGACATAGAATATCCTAAATTGATGCATCGGTCCAAGTAATAATGCTTTGATAAAATCACTCACTGTTAAACCTCCTATCTCACTACAAACTACTAATCAGCTTGTCCCAAGGGCACGGTTCATCATCTGACAAGAAAAAAGCTGCTCCCTTAAACCAATTAACACGGTCTTTCCTCGGTACTCCAGACTATTTACCAATCTATATGTACGTATCGAACACAAGCACTGTAGGAATATTCATATAAGAGTACACATCTCTATCTTCCAACGCTTTCCGAAGACCCTGATATTAAAACTTCTTACATCCTCAAAAAGCGCAATAGCTTGACACTTGATAATAGCCATATTTTCGATATAACTAGACAACGATACGACGCAACAAAATAGCAGTCCGAAAGAAAGATTGATATTTGGCGAAGATAATTACAATAACCTTGAGACACATAAAAACCGGAGGGCTAAAAGTCCCTGCAACTAATCTGAAACTAACAAAGGTCATGAGTGATTTTTATTCATAGTTATCGTTCCAAAAAGAAACTAGAAAACCTGGGATTTTTCTAGTAATTATTTTATATTCTAGTATGAATAGTTGAGAACGGCTGATAAGAAATAAGAATTAACTGGCATTATGTTTCAGATATTGTTCATACATTATCCAAATCCATTAGCATGAGATATTGAGTAAAACACAATTGTGAGAACCAAAGGCTAACTATCCTTACACCAAATTAATCGGATGAATTACTAGGTTATCCACTTTCTCCGGCTTCTGTAATTCTTCTCACCGCCAATGTTCTGCGGAAAAATTGCTACCCACTAAGAACCAACACTTATTTATATCAGATTAAGTAGTATCTTTATCTTTTGCTAGATAACTTAGTCTCAGTATTCCATCATATGTACGTTATTTTCGGCATCTACAACCGCATTCTCAGTCAGTCAGCTACAATGTAGGACCAAGCACATATGTGCATCAGTTCAAGTTGCCATACCTCATTATCACAACAAGAAGAACACCCGATTCATAGAAGTAGTTAATTCAGTGGTGGTAATATATAAAAGAAAGATTGCAATAAGGATATAGTACAGGAAGAATTCGTTCGTAGGAAGATATGAAGTGATTTTAATCTCTTAGTTTAAGGGAAGATAGAGAGTGTATACACCTACGCCATTGTGATCGATCCTGAGCCATGTCACCAAGTCTCCAACCATTGGTTACGATAGTCACGCGGACCCCAACCAAGTAGTCTGCATCTACCAACATGGCTCAGACTAGAAGTTAGTGACTTCAGGCACTGATGCCACGTTTTGGTTTGGCCACCCCTAACTTTCTTCCAACCATCCCGAACACCGGTTAGCATTGCACGTCGTGGTAATCGGTGTTCAGGCATACGTAATACGTGGCCCAACCATCTCAGTCGATGAAGATTCACAACCCCATCGACTGATTTACCATCATCCCCTAATACCCTGTGTCTAACCTCCCTATTACTTACCCGGTGATCCCAGCAATATTTCTGAGGCATCTGTGGTCAAATACTAGTAGCTTACGAGTGTCTTCTACTCTTAATGGCCATGTTTCGCTGCCGTAAATTAAAACAGAACGGACTGCCGCGCAGTATACTCGTCCTTTTATTGATAGACGGATATCTCGCCTTCACCATAGGTGACGTAAGTTGGTAAAAGCCAAGCGAGCTTTTCGAATCCGTGCTGAGATTTCGTCAGACACCAACCTATTGGGGCTGATCAGACTTCCAAGATAAGTGAAGTTGTCAACGCGTTCGACTACTTCACTCCCTATCCTTAGTTCAGGTGTTGACGCAGACCAGTCCTGAAACAACAACTTGGATTTAGAGGGAGAGAAGCGCATTCCAACCGCATTCTCAGTATTTAGTCTTCCTTACAATTACTGTGACTAGAATTATTTTGACTTATTTCCTATTTATTTTGTTAATTTCATCTTGTTGTATTATTGCGAACTAATACATATTTTATGTCATATTAACTCTATATCGATACTGATCAACAGTATCACGCGCGGACGCTTAACGTCGAGTCCGACGGCCCTGGGTTCGAACCCCGCAGACGGGATCGTGGATGCGCACTGCTGAGGATTCCCGCAGCAGGACGAAACGGCCGTCTAGTGCTCCCAGGTTTAAATGGTGATCTAACATCAGTCGGTTCATGATCTCAATCGATATTGATTGTTTGTCAAACAGAGAATCTAACGAAATGAAAACAAAGTTGCTTATATCCCCTTTCCAAAGGATAGTTATAAATTAATATATATATATATATATATATATATATATATATATATATATATAAGATGAAATTTTTAAAATAACCCAAGTATAAATAATTAGTCAATAACAAAACACTTATGAGAGACAATTAAGAATGACATTAGTTGAAATGAGAGAAGTAACAATATTTTTCTCATGTTAAATAATGGAATAATGATAATATCTTTAAAATAAGGTAACTATGATACAAACACTTAGATATTAGATAAATATTATACAGGTAGATAAGAGGTATATATATATATATATATGAATAATAAAATAATTATAAGCCACGATTCTTGTCAACTAATAATCTCCTTGACATTGCCCGATCTTCCTTGCAAATCTTTGATAATTCCGTTTTATTACGACGAACATTTACAAATGGTTTAGGTATACGAATATCTTGTCGTACGACAGTAGTTGATTTAGGAGGAGTTATTGATAATTGCTTGGAAACACGATGAGGTGTACAGGACAAACGACGTGACTGGTTATATTTCAAATCATACGCTTTACGTCGAGCAAATGCACTGTCAGCTGGAATTTTAATAGTAGTTTTACGCGATAATGGATTGTAAGCTAACAACAAAAAAGTAAAAATGAGAAAATATGAAAAAATTCATTTGAAGTTCTTTTTTCTAGACCAGATATAGGAACAAGATAGTACGATTTTTCGAGATATATTACTACCATTAACACAACAAAACGGCCCATTTCTAAGATGATAATACCACTGAATTGGACAGTCCATCGATACACTATACACAGACTGAGATTAGGACGCTATACCGGATACACGATTAGCAATCAACTATAGCGCGAACCAGAGTATATGCCAGACCATAGATTTATTTAACATGAACCCTAGTAGTCCATTACACGTAGTGAGTAGATATCAGTATTAGGAGGGAATTCATAAATAGTCATTTGAATGTATCTGTCTTTGCTCGGTGACCAATTACATCTTACTTTCACTGGCTACATAGCATTGAGAAAATTGGAAAGGAGGAAGAAATACTGGAAAATCCCAGTATTAAACGGTGCAGGCATAATGAAACAAAAAACACTATCACACCAATCAACTAATAACAGTCATTGAAGTCTTTAAAAATTCAACTACTTTGTGATATAGAACAACTAGTTATCGTTTGTCATTGGTTAATATGCTCAACTTTAGTTGATTTCCAAGGTAAAGTAGGGCATCCTACCAACGCAGCGATTCACTTCTAAAGGAATAACATGAAGTTGGAAGATAATAGAAATGAACAGCGGTTTTAGTGTAAATGTTAGTGATACTATATAGCTACGAACATTGTAACCGGGAAAATATGAATTAATTTCGATATGGGATCCAATGGTTAAGAGTTGAATCCAGGAAACTAATGAATAATAAACTTAGGTCAACTAAACTAGATAGTATATCCCAATCGATAACACTCAATAATGGTTCTGTTAACCAAAGATTGAGCAAACTGACCATAAAGTTTGTACTCAATTGATAAATAATAGCATGCGTGTCCACGAGTTTCATGAATTATATTAATTATCATATATCATTTGTGTTCCCACATCCTAAGGACTGGTCAGTTCCTCGGAAACAATTAATCTGTTTAATATTTAACTTACCAGTGAATAAACTAATATATTTACGCAACAGGAAGGTATTCTTAAGATAGTAGGGATATAAAAGAGCATTTCTTAACATGATTTGTTACTCACTTAGTAGTCTTGAGAATCTGATTAATTGAAAGATAATTACTATCATGAGTTTATATATATATATATATATATATATATATATATATATATACTGTACCATTGGATATAATCGTGCACTCACTAGTTATGACATTATGATGAATGAAGCACATGGGCATCTCTATATACACGCTACTAACCAGGTGTCGATTGGTATTTATTCTATCTCCATTTGTTCTTCTTACTGGTTGTTGCCTCAAGTTTTTTATGACTGACAAAATGTTGTTATTAGTTCTGTTCTGTTCATGATGATCTAATGTAGTGAGTCAATCGAGCATCAGTCACACAATAAGCGCACGTTTGTGGTTAAAACCTGGCTTCCTTTCCTAAGGAACGTGGCACACATCAATGGTTAGACGTGTAGCTTAAATTTCTAAGATTCTTGGAAATGCTAGATCCCCAGGAATCACTTGGTAAGCGCCTTGCTTTTGTAACTTTTTCTAAAATTTGAATTTTTCATTTTCGCACTAAGAGCGCCTACTTTTACTTTCAATTTGTATTTCGTTTCCTTCTTTAATACTCTAATTTGTGACGTTTCCTAAGGACTTTTTATGCTGCATATATACGCTTGATTTGTGTGCTTGTTGGTTCTTGCCTCTGACTCTGTGGAATAGATGATTCCCTCACCTGAACCTGGTCTTCTCCCTCTGGTTAGCAGGGCTGGGACACATCGGAATAGTTTAGCTTGTCTCGTCGTTGTGTTGCAGGTCATTCATTCCGTACACCGATTTTAGGTGATCTCATAATCTCTTCAAACGTAGCAAAGATATATATTGCTAGAGTTTAATTCAATAAACCTTCCTTCCTCTACGTCGTCGGTTGAGCTTACATATGGGAAGCTTGCGTATCAGTACCAGAATCGGATACCAACACAAAACATGATATGGACTTGTCAAACTGTCAGATCCTACTATTATTTTTCCGTGCTTTACGCCCGTAAATCACAAAATATTACTGGAACTAGGAATAATACAATGTATTAACTACATTACAAGAGTCTCCAACTAATCAAAAATACCTACATCAATAGAGGAAATAATAGGCCTAGGAAATTTCGAAAAATGACAATTAGCCTTCAAACAGCAATACAAAATCTTAAATAAATGTACATTACTTGAAACATAAATGAATACTGATATAACTGTGGCTGTGACTGGTCAGTGACACTAGGTATGCAATTTACTGACTAAATAACGTACAATATATTTAACAAAAAACAACCTTGCCAACAATGTAACGAATACGAGTAATTCAAGATAAATATATTTTATACCATTGGATATAATGGTATAAAATCACTAACATAGACTATGTGCTCATATCAGCGAGATTTATTTTCAAACGACTCAAACCTAAGAAAATTAGTCACAATGAAAAACACTCCTATTAGCTATTATATGTAGATGTCTACAACATACATCTCTAACTTGTGTGCAGGTTCCCATAGAGAAATATGAAAATGACCAGAGATGACACATTTATTTTCAACAGCCAATCAAAATAAGTTGCAGAATACACGAAATTGTCTACAATATTATTCTTTGTGGGTTGAATTGATTGATGTGAGCTACATAAAATGACTAAACTGACTAACAAATGAGTAACTACTAAGATTTGGGTGACTGTCCCTTAAGTTAAGCAATAGTGCTGTAGTTATTTGATAAAATAACATGAAACTAAGGAGAAAATACACTCATAAAATACCTGCCAAATTGTTTGCCTGTTGTTGGTTATTTACAGTTGTACTAATTTCATTAGATGAGAAAGGAGAAAGAAGTGATTTACTTCGTTTAACCGAATTTGAATTCTTCAATATTGTGATTTTGTCATTCAAAGGAATTGATATTTTCTTCTGAAGGCTGAACTTGCGCTGAGATATATTTGTTTGGGAGATCTCAGATTTATCGCCAGATGAATTCGAGACCTTTTTATTGTTGTTAACAAAAGGTGGTGATGCAAATGGTGGTCGAGGTTTACTAGTCAAGTTACGCCGTGAAGCATATGACACCAATGATTCCAATTTTGAAGCGGCCTTAGCATGAATCTTACTGAAGTCTGATGAGCAGTAAACGAAGTAAATATAATGAAATATTTATGTAATGGCATACACAAATATTGTTTTCAGCATACGAGGTTTGTGAAGACTTTTGTATTTCAATATATTACATCAAGGATTGATTTTAGAAAATTACTGAAAGAAAAGAAGCCCTGGACAACTGTTTCGTTCTAATGTGGGACTCATCGGCAGTGTGTACGAGACTGAATGCCCGACGTTGGGTTTGTAGTGGGGGTTATGGATGGGCACCGCTTAGGAGTCTTATACTAGGACGGAATAGCTAATCAATGCTTTCTGTTTTCAGCGGTTGCCTAATTACAATCAATCTGTGATGTAATTATGAAAATATTATTCCGATAATTTACACCAAAAACATAAAATAATGAGGAAAACACCTTGTCACGAGAAATTCAGTAAATCAGCCCAAAAGCTACACTCCACATCTACGTTTGGGTTTAAAACTGGAACACTAAACAGTAGTGAAGAATACTTGTATTTTAATTCCACAAACTAATGACTGAAGACTATCAAACAGGTTTTAGTGGACACTTCTTAACAGTATGGTATATTTGACTCGAACTTACCGAAGGGAATTTCCATGGGAAATGACGGTAGGTAGAAGCTAAAATACTATCTTCGAACAAGAAAGCATGAATTATGCAAACGGGTTGACAGAAATCTACTCACAACCCCTCCGAAACCTGAGATGTCTAAAATCCCTATTTCACTGGTATGGTAGTGGGATTAAGAAATATTTTTTCACAAATTCCAATTACCCAGATGCTCTTTATTTTCCCCCACTATTCTTAATCATATTTATGCAGACACTGGATCAATCAGTTTTATTTTTACTTCGAGTGTTCCAGCTTCAAAGAATAATTGACTTAATACTCTTAGCTCACATAAATAGATTCTTTGGGACGACATTCGTAGAACATGTCCAAGCCATCGAAGTCAGTGTTTCAAGATAGTGACACCAACTGAATTATCATCTTTGCGCCCGAACACACGATGCCGAACCTCTTCATTACTAACATGGTGTTGCCGCTGGATGTCAGCAATCCTTCGGAGACAACGTTAATCAAACACATAGAGTTGTCTAACATAGGATATGCTTTGATAGTAGACTATTATGTATCAGTTTCGTAGCATACTGCTGTTATAGCAGGATAGATTATGCTCTTATGTCAACCAATCATAATCAATATAGAGCCTTGAAAAAATATGCCTGACTCCAACTTGCTGTAGCACATCAGGAAGAGGTGAAATTAACAAGAATAGCAATAGTCGAAGCAATTGTAGTAGCGATGATATTGAGAAAGACTAAGAATTGAGAATATGATTTGAGAAATATAAATGAAGTTATGCATGAAGAGATACTGGAACTCAAGATCTAGAGGAAGATAGAGCGAGCATGTGTCTTTATGGTCTATTCTGAAGCATATTATTTAACATATCCAACCATTGATCAGAGATGTCTCAAGGACCCCTGACGTCACATCGCAATTCAGTTACCCATAGTTTTTTCAACCTACTCCCACTTCCGAGCGCGTCAGAGAAGACGGGATCTTAGCAAAAATAACACATGTTCCAACCACCATAGTCGATGGGGACTCATAACCTCATCGTCTGACTTGCCATCTTGGTCTAGTAATTGATCCCTAACCTTAGAGTTGGTTATTTGGTTATTCCACTCACTGCCTTCTCAAGGCGACAGTGGTGTTTACAGAATTAAGAAAACGAAAAAAGAATGTCCGGCGCTTTAGCCGGGTTGGTGAATATAGAGGATCTACCTAGAAGATTGGAAAACCGTGATTCGAAACCGATGATGCACATGAGATATAGGATCCTAAGGGAACAAATGGCGCATAAACCTATTCCTGGTCACCAGCTACTATGAGACTGCATCTCCTAACGTTGCGCCACTGCCTTGTGGATTGGACCTCTAGGTCAAAGGCTCGGTTAGTGGCCCCCTAAGGGAACTATCTGCTTCGGTTTGGGCACCAGGGCAATATTCCAGCCCTCACACAAATTGAATGATGAAGTGTGGCGCATATATATTTGGTGTCTCCTTGTACCAGTGTTTATGTGTCTAAATAAATAATAACTAGAGCAATACTTTGAAAACATCTATAATCAAGAACTTGCTGTGATATGGAAAATGTTGAGCAAGGACCTATTCTAATTAAAATTTAGGAATGTCGTCTTTATTCGTTCTTTCTTGAAACCATTTAAGCGAAGATGCACGAAGCTATGGAGCAGTAAGCCCTTAAAATAATAGTATTTCGTCAATGGTAATTCATATACCAAGTACGGATTTATTTGATCAGCAATGAGCCATGTTGTTTTTGTGAACAGTAATGGTAATACACGGAAAACCAAAGTGAATTAAAGTGACTTCTGAACCTATGATTTAGTGATTGAAAGATAAATTCTTATTTAGCAAATCGCATCGTAGTCATAACTGTTACAAGACTATCGTTGGAACTTATTCTGTACGTATGACAAAAAATTGAACGTAATAAAAATGAATTTGGAATTCGAATTACCTGGGACTGTCTTGATAACCGATGGCTTTTTAGCTATGGACAATTTATGGGATTCTGGAAAATATTTTAAAAAATAGCAATTAAATATAAAAGCCACACAATGAAAGATTACTCTACAAAAGTTAGTTTTGTTGAATAGTGCTTGATCTGGTCGGAATTAACGAAAATAAGTGTTTACATAAAAGGTTATTAAATTGTTGCTTTATGGGGCTATACCGTTATTATTAGATGTCCCCTGAGTAAATGAATACTACCAGGGTTAATAAAAGAGTCTGACATGGAGAATGCCATCAACAAAAGAAGATGCTAGCAGCTCCTCTTAAGCTTTAACATGACACACTAATACTTTCCCATTTTATAATATCAGAATCAGCTTGATACAGTGAAGCATCAGAAATCTACAGACTCTAAACATTTTTATCTATAAATAAGGGAAAACTACACATTAATAGCCAAAAAATAAGGTCAAAATATTAGAGTATTCAACGTGAATTCTATTTTAAACTGATGAATACAATAAATCTAGGGCATGATTGCCGCCAACTTATTACTTTGAGCTAGACCTCAGATCACTGATTACATGATTTCTAGAGCTCTATTTGAGGAATCACATTGTGTAAAAAACTGATCAACATTTTTTCGTAATGACCTTATTTAGCTCTATCAAATAAAATACTTGTTTGAGACCTTACTACATGTGGTACGTTGATTAAAGAGATACCAGACCCAGTGAATGTAACGTACGAGGGTGAAGTCGTACCAGTATTTGAGGGTATGGGATAAGAGTGTAATCTCCAGAGATAGGTATGATCCACAACAAAAAGATCTGAATTGGCATATAAAACTAAGGACCTCAGCACAAAACTGACCTTTTTATATCAACACAAGCACTCACAACTAAACATGCATAAGGACTTCACTATTTTTAATAACTCCCACCAAGCATGATTACAGAGGTACTTTACTGTCAATCGTGGTTATTTATTTTCTAATTGGTTTAAATACGTAAACATTAGTGCAAGGAGGTACTAAATATATATGCGTCGCACTTCATTCAATTTGTGTGAGGGCTGGAATACTACCTGAGTACTCAAACCGAAGCAGGTATCGTACAGATACACTACACTCCAACGATCTAAACAACATACCATACGTATGGACGGCAGTTTTCAAGTGAATGAGTGTAGTATAGGCAACTTATACATCATCGCAGAGTAGAATGATTTCTATGCGTTTAAAACTGGGGAATTTTCTTCAAAGTCGAGAATCTACACCAATGCAAACTACTTTCAAGACACCATTATTGGTGAAGTTAAAGAGATAGAGTGGTATTGAACATCTATGTATGACTGGTTAGAAGTAACAGAAAATAAGTCATGTACATTCATGTATCATTCATTCAAACCATTCTGGTCCATGGCGCTGGAAAATGTCGAGGACACTAACAATAGTCACGATTCGGAATATTCTTAAATTACAACTAACAATTATACTTGAAATATTACTAGTACACCGTTAGACAATTTAATATATTGACCTATGCACTACTTATGAGGAATGTAACTAAGATCGTATGTAGAGACGGTATGATATCATGACTACTGAAAAACTCAATTTCACAGACAGAACTTATATCGCAAAGGAGTGTATTGAGTGGGAACTTAAAATCCGTGAACTAACTATAAACAACTTGGAGTGAAAAGTGAGACGTTCACTACATAACAGATACGTCACATTTCGACTGAGTGACATTACCTGAGTATTGCTTGATTGGGTTCTCAATAGTATCCTTCTTGCAGCACACCACAGGAGAAGTTAGCTGCAGATATTGAGTGAAATATACAAAGTGAACTGACCTCGTATGTTCGATTCAAAACACCTGGAGCTTCATCGTCACTTATTGGTGTAGATGTTATCCCGCCATTTTCTTTATTTTCTTGATCGTCAGCAGAAAGCTTAGGCTTGTCCGTACATCTGAAAGAAGACTCTTCAATCTATCCCGAACGATGTCGTAGAAAGCATAGTACATCTACCTCAACAGACTCAGTAGATGCTGTTTCACCATTCTTTGTGCCGATACTTTCAAATTCCTATGAGCCTATAGAGGCAAGGCATTATACAAACCTGAATACAAAGCAGGATTTTCAGCTCCTTCTTTAGTTCAGAGGCCTGTAGTGATAAGATAAACATGCTTGAAGCTAACCTTTTTGTTAGCCTTGATACCATGCATTTTAGCAAGCCTCTGGAGTTCTACATATCGCAAGCTATCAACATCTACCGTCATTCTACCCCTAACCAACTAATTACGGAATCCGCGCCTCTACCGGTACATATCATATATTGTTCGTCTCACTATCCAATATTTTCAGTGGAACCAGTAAAATCTTAGTAATTTCCTTGTCATAAAAACTTGACCACATAATCCAATTTCGGAACCGTGGTAGTGTTTGGGAAAATCAGGCTAAATGATTCAAATGGTTGTGAACGGAATAAAAGAAGCCCGTGCTAAACAGGCTTTCGTATCTTATGGAAGCGTATCATCGATGCTTTCAGGCAAAGACTTATATGTATCTGACAAGTAGAAACGAAACATTAGGGAACTATGGTTAAATGTCTTCCTCAGTCCCTAACAATCTATCGAGTTTCTTCTTGAAGGACGTCTGGGGAGTTGTTTGGACCACCGAATCCAGCAGCGAATCCGAGGACACATAGGGCCTAAGAAACGTCACTGAGCCCTAACCAAGTCGCCCAGCGGTCCAGCCATTAAATGTAGGACAGTCCATCAATTTTCATCAAGGTCAAGGATAACCAACACACGACATGGACTGGCCTTACAGACTCAACTACTCATAGGGGATAGAGAGTGTACCAACGGTCCGGTTTGCTATGCCATGACTCTGAGCTATGAGTCATTGAAAGGTCACTTCTAGGTTGATTGTACACTATTGTGTGAAAGTAAGTTTTTAGTTTGAATTCTTTGACTGATCTCATAGCTCGCATTCGGATAAATTCCAGACTATTCATGTTCTTTTGTAGTGAGGGGTAAAACGATACATTTCCATACTCTGAATGGGACCAAATAGAACTTAAAAATTAGGTAAAAAGTTAAGCTTGCCAAAAATGTGCTTTAAAGTTACTGGTGAAAGAACTGATCTAAAAAGTATTTCTATCACAGTAAGACTTTAGAAAGTATAGTGCCAAGACACTTTGCTCTTCAACTGGGGGTGACTTATCTAAGCTGTGTGTATAATCTGCAACACGTCTCACATGGACTACTGTACACTTCGAAGTGCTAAAAGTAAGTTCGTTGTCATCCGCCCAATTTTAGAGTCGGTCAGACCTTTATGAGATTTTATATCATGATCCTGGCTGTAAACTTTTCTCCAAAGTTTAGCATCGTCAGCGAAAAAGTAATAGCCAAGACGATGCCTGCTGAAGGTTATTCACGCGAACTAGGATATTCTGTACCCTGAGAAAATGCAAAGTTTACCCTGAGTAGTCATGGTCCGTGTCAACTTGTGCAACCAAAAATCACCAAACAGGAATTAATTCGGTACCTATATGTTCCCATATTTTGTGTAATGGTTTTCAGTGGAGATGTGAAACTTGCTGTTTTTGGTCAAGCCTTCATACTACCTGGGGCTGACCTTGTGGTTAAAGCGTCACATAAAATGTTTGAGTATGTAAATAACTTCCTATAATGCAGAACTCTGTAGAGATTTGACATTGACCTCGATGTCTTTAATTTCAAGTCACCACTAGCGAGAGAAGTTTTGTCAAGCGTCGTAGTCATATCTAAATACAACCCATGAAAGATGTTCCTTCTCCTTCAGATAATCAGACAGGTTAACATCCATTCACCGACACCTGTCTATCGTCAAATATGCGATTCCTCTGGGCCTTTCTTTCGTTTTTGTCTTCTAGATATCCTTCTTAAGGTACTCTGTCAAAAGAATCGTCTGGTTTGGTCACATCTACAGTATCTTCACACTTTTGATGAGGGAATCTTACTGTTAGTGATAGCCATAATAAGTTCAGTCAATACTATTCTGAACGATTAGCTGTTGTTGTAACCTTTAAATGCGTTTGTTGTTTGATCGACACATGAACTCTGAAGTGTAAATTTCATTAACTAAAGTCAGCACTAATTCTCGATGCGTCACTTCATGGTCAACTACTGGTTAATATTCCTAATGTAAATATTAAAATGGTCTGAACACTTTCCAAACACTCGAATACATCTTGCGACTCCATTTGTTTTTTGTTGAACGACTCAGGTGTTAATTTATTTGATTTATTTTAGTCGACAAGAGAGATCAGGCTGCATGAGTGGACATGAACTTTCCAGCAAAGTTAGCATAAATGCGATTACTATCTGAAGCATTTCTAGACTGAGATTATTTTGTGTCGCATTGTTTGCTGCTTGGTAATACAAATGTTTCCAAAGCTTGATGAAGAATCCTTAGTCCAGACAGACCGGTGAGACTCCCTAAACTGTATTGGAAACCACTAATAGCTGGCACGATATTATCACAATCTATTCCCGACTGTGCCTTACACAAACATTCGAACTGATAGATTAACATCCCGAATCAAGTTTTGTGTCAGTTATTTTTCGACCACATCTAGTCTTTAAATGTAAAATATCCTGGAATTCGATCTACAGTTTCATAACAATTTACGGAAAAACCACTGCAGTTTTCTTAGTGATATAATACGCCGGTGGAATTGTCCTTACTACTGAAGGCATTACTCTTTCCTCCCTGAAGGAATTGGGGACATCGAGTGTAGTTGTAGCGTTGGTATGAACTGATGATTCTGTAGTGTGGCGTCGAGTCTCGGCCAACTATTATCACCACCACAAGAAGGTTGCGTACTAGATATCAGAAGGCGATTGGAGGTTGTAGTGAGATATATTCGTCGGCGATCTGGTGGCATCGAAAGAATACCGAGATCGTGCCAAAAGAGTACAAGCGGAATCACTGAGCAAACGTAAGTGCGTGCAAGGTCACAATCAACGGAAGGAAGAATGTCCTTAGTGCAGTCGAAAAAACAAATACGGAAAAACAATCACAGGTACAATTGATTATGATAATAATTGTTTCTATTAAACCAATCGTGTCCTCTTGATAAAAGTAGGTCACTACAATTTCTTTGTACTTGATGACTGCCTAATTTCGAATCCCAGATACAATATGTTCATTCATGTTCATCCCGTTCTTCTTGGTTTAAATTGCATTGCTCTTACAATAATTCGAAAACTCCTAACTATCACAGTAGCCTTACACATAAACTCTTGAGTAACTACCATGAAAGGCTTGTGCTACTCATTCATTGAGTCAAACAAACCATAACTTTTCTGTGTGTGCATCCAAAACTATTTCTGTTAGCATTGAAATATCATGTTGATTATCAGCGCATCTTACCAAGTAAGGAGCCAGAGTGGTTTTAAAACAGCTATGAAAATTTCATCTGATAAGCTTCTGCATCAACAGTTGAACTTCGATACTTTCTGAAAGAGTCCTACCTATAGGGTAATGGCCAGGCGTGAAATTAGCACCTGAAGTAAGTATGAGTTGTTGTCTTCAGTTCTCAGGAAACTATGATACTTTCAACTGAAAGCTGCTTCGACTACCTCGAAACAAAGCATCAGCAAGATATGATGATCTATAATAGTTCACGATAATGATATTGTAATAACTGAATGAAGGTTGTAACAATAATTTTAAACAGTATCTAGGTCTAGTCAGATTTAAAAAATAAAATCAGGAAGATCTACACATCAGTAACTTAAGCCAAATCATCCCAACCATTTTTATAGTTATTTATACAATTGACAGACCAAATAAAATGGTTTTTTCTTCTACTATCGGCTTATAATTACACAGAATTGTCTACCTAAAAAGATAAACTTTAAGAGGGCTGGATCACTGACATATTCAGTTATTGTTTGCTCATATCGAAATTTCGTTAGTTCTGTATGTGTACGTTAACTGTTGTTGGGTAATAAGATAATCTGGTAGTAACGAGATTAGAACTTTTTTCTCTTCATTGTATGTTGTGTTACTCAGACATTAGGAGGTTCAGCCGTACATAAAAATGTGTTAACCTGGTGTTCTACAGTATTTATTGATAAATAATTATTATTAGTTTGCAAATTATTGTGTCTTGTTTGGTCTCCAATTCATTCCCACAAACCGTAGGTGATTGTTTTGTAGTGATTTGCATTCCGCGTGTCTTTCGGAGTCATATAAAATCAGCTGGGATTAATTTCTCCTACACCTACCGGAAATCCAGTATATAGTAGAATCATAGGCAGTGTATAATGATCTCTTGATTGTCTCAAATTAAATGCATATTATCGGCAACGAATTAACTGTGTGATCTTTCTCATTTTAAAAGGCCGTCATTTTGCTCTATATAAAGAGGACTGGCAGAGCGTTAGTGATGTAAAATCAGAAATACGACGATTGATATTCAACAACGTTCTCTACGTTGTTCTGTACAGGAATACCATTGTTGATGACAAGTCTTCTAACTGAACGTTAGATTTGGTTCCTAAGTTCTTCTAGTAACCCCTGGGCTAAATCTAGAAAGCGACTTAGACAAGAGAGAAAATAGAGAAACGCTTTACTCTAAGGTTCGTCTATGTACAGAAAACCTATGGTATTTACAGCATTTTATATGACCTTGAGCTTCCGGAAATTTCTGGAACGCTACTACACATAAAAGCAACATAGGTAATCATCCAATGAGAAACGCAACATGTGACTTTTCACTCTAGATGTTTCTGGCAAAACTTGTATTGAATGCTGATTGGATAAGATGCTTCTCAACATTTTCAGAGACTTTTAGGCTTTTTCGTGGGATTTTCTTGATCTCCCCAACATTTAGTACTGTGTTACCTAGTTGCATAGATAGTTTCTTTAGACGATATATTTACCACGATTCCAATTGCTATTTATGACATGACTTCTAATGAATTCAAGGACTGTTAAATTGATCCGGTTACATCAAACGTATCGAAAACCCACACTTTTGGTTTACTCTGTTAGTCTTTGTTCATTTGGTTTGGCGAATCAGCACTTACATAGCCTGATCTCTTGCTGTCCTTTTTGTTAGATCTCCAATGCACCTCACTAAATAAGTCCTTTCATCATGATACTTAGCTGATTCTTCAGAACTGAATAAAGAGAGCCTGTACATCTACCAAATTGGGGTCAAGAAAGCCAGTCTCAGATAGCTTTACTAAAGTCTACCCAGTCGACCTAGTCTAGCACATTT